GAGTTTTAGTCATACCTAGGGTAATTATCTCAGCTAAGAAATCCATCAAAGTTCAAAATACTGAAATTGTAAAACAGTATGAGAAGTATATAATACCAAAAGTTTTATATTGAGCTAACTATTAATTGTTAGAAGAAAAAACAAGTTAAGACATTGTATCATGCGTGTTTGAACGTGTTTAAAACATTACAACATATATTGCTTCATTTTCAATTTTTTTGTGAAAATTTTCTTTTCCATGTATATCACCAAGCTATCACCCATCCATTCGTCTCCCATTCTATTACGCAAAACGGTCTTGATAAGTTTCATAGCACACAAGACACGTTCAACTAAAGCAGTTGCAACAGGTCAAACTAATGCAAGCCCAACAAGGTGATATATCAATAGAAATGCAAGATTCATTATGGATTATATCATTAGCTTCGCAAAACATTCCAAATCTGCAACCAAAATGATTTTGACTCCGCATTGAATGAAAATGTGTTTCAAGTTGTTGCTTGAGAATAAAACTTTCAGTAGAGGAAAAGTCCGTTGGGTACAAGTGTTACAACTCGATCAGCCATATGCAGTAACTTATCTTTGTCAAATTGAGAGAAAGAGCTTGTTGGATCAAGTCATGCAATACATGTAAGTAACTCAGTATTTGCTTATGGAAAATGACTATTCATCTCTACAATCATCTTGTCAACAACCTAATATTCATTGTACATAAGAATATAATTAGGGAAAAAAATCTTGAGAAAAATAATTAATAAGATAATGAAGTGAACCAAATTAGTAATGGTATTTACATTGCATCTACTACGGCCCCGAACTAGCATTTCTTCTTACATATCTAATATTGGGATCTTGTGAGTTTCACAAAAAGAGTTTACGTCTTTTAAAACATTCTCTCTTCCATTTTCTCGAAATTCTTGCAATCGAGCTTTCATCGTTTAGTCAAATTAATTGTCAATATAATATTTTGATCTTTTTGTTGCAAGAAAAGAAACAACTTGATAACTTCCCACTAAACCGCTAGTGATATTAGAGAGAAGGGGGAGTTAAGAGTTTAGAGAGAGAAAATAACTTGCATTAATGGGATTCAAACCCTTTATAACTGCCCCAAGTGGGCATTCATACTAGTAATTAATGAGGCGTTGCATTAATGAATTACACGTGTTGGCTAGTCTATTGGCGAGAGCCCTAGGGCGTAGCAGAACTCGACGCACATCATTCTTTGACCAACTTTTGGCCAAGTGTTCTTTGTTGGTCGAGATGACGTTGGCCGAGGTGCAGGGGTGCAACCCGAATCTCGTGTTATCCTTGTATCTGGGTAATATGTCTGCGATCTTAGATCGAGGTGATGGGTTCAAGGTGAAGGCCGAGGTGACTGTACAGATAATGAGCGTATTTCTTTCTTCTGCACTCGATTTGGTTGAGAGGTCCCAGGTATTGTAATGGACTTGGACCATTTGTGTATCCAAAAGTGTGTGGACCATGTGTCTAAGCCCATATACTCTTCAAGAGTCCCAAACTGAGAGTCTTCAAAGTGAAAGGGAGTAGTGTTGTTTGACTTTGATCATGTCCTTTGATTTAAACCGCTAGTATTATTATAGATGAGCTCTTGTTTATTGCTGAGTAAACTTGTGCATAGCTCAATAGTAAACTTGTGGGCCTTTCTTTCTCATAACCAATTGTTGACAAGTGTAGGTGAAGTCGTGAAGATTATCCATTTCTCCACATGTATTTGCAGTCCTCAAAACTAAAGTGACAGTTGGTCCCCCTAGTTAAGTTCTCACAAATCAAAGTGTGGTGTTGACACCTATAAGACCAACATTGAATGTAAATGGTAAATCCCAAAGAGAGGTATCTAGAATAGAAATTGTCCGAAATAGAATAAAAACGTTTTGAAATTGCAAAATAGGACTTTCATGTTTTTATTCGCTAAATAGGAGTAATTCTTCCAAGTTTGAAAAAATGCAATATTCAAAGCTTAGTAATGCCAAATTTGGCAAAAATTTACTCTTATTCAAGGAATAAAATCATGATGATCTTATATTGGAATTTCAAAACTTTTTTATTCCTATTTAGGTAACTTCAAGCATACGTAACGTAAAGCGTTCCCATTTGAAATTCTTTCTTGGATGCCCTTTGTCCAGTTGGGATAGACCATCCTTTAAAATTCTTTCAATGGCATCACACTCGGCCCCATGTGTGCAGGATACAAGCTTTCAAACTACCATTTTTTTTATATATTTGATATTTCTATCTGCTTTGATCCAGCCAGAGAACGGGATAAAGAATACACACACTAACCTTTATGCCGTTTAAGTTTATACGACGTCCAAGGAGCCAAGCAAGGATCAAAGCCCATGGTGAATTGAAACCGTTAGCTCACAAAACATTACATGAAATGACAACACTTACGAGTGTTTGCAAATGTTTTTGCTTTAAGAATCCTCTTTTTAAAGTGATTTTGGAAAAAAATGATTAATGGTAAAAGTTGATAGTGTTTGAGAAAAAGTGATTTTGAAAAGTAAAAGTTGATAATGTTTGGTACAATACGTGCTTTTTGTGTAATAGAAAAAATAAAAAGCAATTTTCAGCCAAAAGCTGGAAAACACTTTTTAAAATAAAGGTTGTTACTTGAAAGCATTAATTTTAGTTTTTTTTAAGACAAAAACCGAGATGCGATTTTTTAAGCTTTTGCAAACAGACTCTTACACTGTTGCCTTTTACAAAGAAAGGTAAGTAACTAATGGTTCTGGAGATGCATATATATTGTCTATGTTGTGGATCTAAATTAGTTTTTATTACGGACTATAAAAAGAAGTCCTGAACCTTTCTTGCCACATCCATGCAACCAAGATCATCTCGAGGATCTGAATATCAAATAAAATTTTAATCAACAAAAGTGTTCCCTCTCAATCTAAATGAATGAGTCTACCATTAATGGCCTTTAAGAGCTTCTTTGGTTCAAAGATAAAGGAAGTTGTTGCAACTGACTACAATGCCTTTGATGCCTCACTGGCTCACTACCTGATGACTACAACTTCGGTGATGGAGGTGGACATGCAAATTGGCAACGAAGATCTAGGTGAAATTCTGACGACCGACAGTGACGGTTCAGTTTTAAAAGTGTATACACTTTTTAAAAGTCTATACACTTGTTTCAAGAGTATAGACTACATTTTTGCATAATTGCATAAATGTACTACATTTTTTAAAACGTGGCAATAAGACTAAAACGTGGAAAAATTGCATAAATAGGACTACATTTTTTAAATTCTCTTAATATGACTATTTATGTGAGTTTTGGCCAAATATACCCTTGTAGCTTGTGACATGTTTTAATTAATAATAAAATCATAAAAAAATAATAAAAATCGAAAAAATAATAACAAACGTAAAAAAATAATACAAAATTAATTAAATATTTAAAAAAATTTTAAAAAAATATAAAAAAATTGGAAAATTAAAAGAAATTGTAAAATTAAAAAAAATTGCCACCCCTGCCACCCCCAGCTCCCATCAACGGAGAAAAATATGCCAACATTTTAAATAATGCCATAATGATGGCATGTTCAATGAAAATGTTGGCATATTGAAGAGTAATTATGCCATCCTTTTGGAATTTTCAGAAAAGATGACATTTTTTTTTTACCAAAAGTGGAAGAAATTCACCAATCGGAGGTGTGATGCTGGGAGGCGGTGGGAAAGGTATCCATAATTTTTTAAATTTTTTATGGGGTTTTACTATTTTTTATTATTTTTTTAAAAAAATTAATAAATATTGTTTTTAAATTTTTATTTCATAAATATTTTATTAAATTTTCATAATTTTTTTACGATTTTAAATATTGTTTACGATTTTTTATGATTTTATTATGATTAAAAGCATTTCATTATGAATTAATACCCTTAGGGGTATTTAGGGTAGAAAATAAATGTTTAGTCCTATTTAGGGAATTTAAAAAGTAGTAGTTATATTTGTGTTTTTTTAGGAACTCATTAGTCCTATTTAGGACAATTTTCGTTGTTTCAATTATCCTTTTATTTAATCATGTTTCAGAAAATCTCCCTATTTTTTTTGGAAATTGAATTCAATTTAGTAGAGTAATATTTAGGGAAACAACCAAAATAAAACATCAAATCCTACTTAGGGGGTTTTTGGATCTAATTCTTAAAACTGCTCCTGCTCCTTCAGGGAGCAGAAGCAGAAGTTGGAGTGTTTGGGTGAAAATTAAGAAGTGATTCTGGTATTCAGATTTACCCCTAAAATCAGTTTTTTTAGAAGCTGAGGGTGACTAGCTTCTTAAAACCGATTCTGATTATGCTTTAAAAAAGAAGTAGAAGCAGAATCACTTCCAAACACCCTATTTAAACTCCTGCTAGGTGTGTTTTTAATTCTATTTTTTTGTTTTGTTTTAATTCTATTTAGTGCTATTTCTTCGAGTCACTCATCGTCAACAACTCAACACCTCCCGGAACCGCCCCAGACACCTCAAGCTCCTCACCTACTATCCTCCTGCCCGCTTAAGGGTCTGTTTGGATGGAGTGTTTGGAAGTGTTAGTAATGGAAGCGTTAGTAAGTGTTAGTAAGAGTTCGGAAGGGAAGAGAAGTGTAAGTGTTAGACATAATTTTACCTTGTTTGGGAGAGTCAAATGAATGAAGTGTTAATAATGGAAGTGTTAATAATTTTACCTTGAGGCAAAAGAAACGAGTAAAGAGAAGAGATGAAAAAACAAAGTGAAATGTCGATGCATTTTATGTTTTTCGGGTAAATGAGAAGGGTAATAATTGTCCAACACCTCAAAACACTCCAAATCGGGGTGTTAAAAAAATGGACAATTGAGGTGTTGGGAAGGTTATTATTAACACTTCTTAACACCTCTGGATTTTTCTCCCAAACAAGTGTTAGCATCAACACTTACTAACAGTTCCATTACTAACACTAAATCCAAACAGACCGTAAAGGCTCTGGATATCAATCTTCAGGATTTATATCCATACAATACCATACCCGATCAGCCGATCTAATAACCCATACAAAAAGTCAATCTGTGAAACAGTAGGAAGCACCAATCCTAACAGTCTAAAACCGTCTAACTTTGTTTTTCCTCTTCATAAAGCTTATGCTTCATGAAGCTCAGCTTCACTCTTGGATCCGACCGACCTAAGAAGGCAAGCTCTTGAAAACGCTGCTGGGAACAAAGAGGTAACTTTTTCCTGGTGGGCTCTGCTTAATGTACAATACAGTGCCTTTTCTTCAAAAAAAAAAAAAGATTGGACCAGGTGATTGCCCATTTAGCTTAAAAAAGCAGGCAGTTATAGTTCACAGTGGCTTCAGTTTTGCATCTCTTTTGATTCTTTTGACCTATAGAACCCCTAACATTGGATCTATTTCTTTGTAGATATTGCATTGGAGCCTAAATATTCATTCTTTGATGGGTGAAAATCGAGTCATTCGGGATTTCAGGTTTCAACTGAAGGTCAGCTCTCAGAAAAAAACTGCCGCCTTGTTGTCCTAACTACTAAAAAAGACTTCTGTGTTTTTTATTTTTGGTGCTCCACTCCGGCCTCTTCAATGTACCTCAAATCAACTTGTGCTTTTTTTTTAAAAAAATGAGCCTTTTTTTGTTTGAAAAAAAAATCAGGCTTGTAAAGGGGCAAAAATAAGCTGTTAAGCATGTGAATTTGGGTTATGATGGTAGGGTGAGGCATATTTGGGTTTGCCATGAGTTATAATGGAACTAGTTATCTTTTGGGTTCAATATGGTTTGGCCTAGAGTGTGGCCTCAGTTGAGTACAAGGAAGCAATGCTGAATTCTCTTATATTTGTTTTGTTTGGTGTTACAGTGTGCTTCTGAGAGATTGGACATCTATGATCGGATAAGTCGCCTTCCTGATGACATTCTAGGTGTGATATTGTCTTCTCTTCCGCTGAAGGAAGCTGGGCGCACGAGTGTTCTTTCATCTCGTTGGAAGAACTTGTGGAAACAAACCTCACGCCTCAATTTTGATGCAAGCAATGCATTGGACAGGATTGCTCGAGATCGCAAGCTACGCTGTGAGGAGAGGCGCAAGTACGTAAGATGGGTGAACTCAGTCCTTAAATCTGCACCACACAAAGGGACGCTCACCTTGGAACACTTCAGGATCTGTTTTGATGTAGGAAAAGCATTCTCTGGGAGTCTGGGACCATTACAAAGTGGCTTAAGTTTGCTTTTAAGAGACGGGTTGAGAGGTTGGAGTTGAACCTTCTGGAATATGGTGATGACGAATCAGAGAAACGGTATGCCTTCCCTGAAGACATCTTGTTCCGAAACAACATTGACATCCCTCACCAAACTACTACATTTTTCAACTTCAATTCCCTGAAAGCGCTGTGTTTGAAGAATGTTTCGATCAGTGATGAAGCTATTGAGTTTTTCTTACGCAACTGCCCATCACTGGAGCAATTAGATCTTCAAGACATAGATCAATTATCAAATCTTGAAGTTTGTGGTCCATCTCTCGTGCTAAAAAGCCTGTATGCAAGGTATTGCTTTGATTTGGTATCCATTAAGATATCCGCACCAAAGCTTACTTCACTTGCAGTTTGGACAACAAAAGGACTTGTTCTTGAGAATGTGCCAATGCTGGTCGATTTAGACATTATCTGTCAGAACGTTCACATGCCATTGTTAGTTCCTGCACTATCTTGCTGCTTTTCCCAATTGGAGATTCTTACCCTGCGGCTGCCGATCCATGGGGTAGCACATCATCATTACATCTGCTGCTATGCAAAAATAATATAATACTTCGTATATATTATTTGTTCCTTACAGTTGATTACCATTTTTCCCGCAGGCAGATCAAATTGCGCAGTTCAACTTCCCTGAGATGCTTCAGTTGAAGAAGCTAGTTGTAGGTTTTTGTGCAAACCATGATGAAAGTCTTCTCGGGCTAATGACATTCATTAGGATATCTCCCAACCTAGAAGAGTTTGTGTTAATGGTGGGTGGGTCCGACTACGTGTGCGTTATCATTTGCCTTTCTGTACAAGTTTTTCCCCTTTTCCCTTTTATCATACTTTATTTTTTTTAATCTTTTTTTTTCCCCTTTTGGCTCTGATATCATGTATCGATTCCATTTCAGCCGACCCCAAAATCTTTTGGAACTAAGGCTTGGATGTTGTTGTTCTATAATCATAGTGTTCCGTTTTTTTAAGTAGGTTTGTCTTACTTAAATGATTCTAGAATTTTGCTGCTTGCATGTTGTCTTTCTATTTCATCATGTGTAGGAGAATCAGACAGATGGAATCAATGTTTGTTATTTTTTCATGTGCAGATTACCTGGGGCGGGAGATCGTCATGGGCTAGCAGAGAAGTGAATAAGGGGACACCATTCCCACACCAACACCTTAAGGTGTTCCAGTATTTAGGCTATTACGGCCGCTGCAGTGATATGGAAGTAGTGATGTTCATTTTGGAAAATTGTGTTGGGCTTCAACAAATCATTATTGATCCGTCCGTGCCGCTAGCTTATTTGCATGCACCACCAGATCTTGGTGAGTTGGAACAGGACGAAGCTGGCAGAAGTTATGCAAAGCAACAGCTGGAACCAATAATCCCTCCCCACATTTCATTTGCTATCCGATAGAGTATCTAGCTCTTCCCCCCTTAGCTAATTAGCTTTATTTATTTGTTTATTCAGTTATTATTACCCGTTTTGTGGACGAATGTTTTTTGTGCAATTGGTGTTCAGCTTAGTGTGCTTTTTGTATCAAGAAATAACTGGCATTCAAAATCTTTGATTGAAAATCACTTATATTCATTATTTTGCTGCAGCTGATGAGTCCTAGTGTCTTGAATATGATAGGAACCGGCCAGATTAGTGCTAATAATAAAAATAATTTAATTTGTATGGGTAGTATAAATAGAAGGGAAGTGAGGAGTAAGGAATTAGGCAAAAATTAGTTGGAATTTGGATCTAGGAGAGTAAGACTTCTCGAAGAGCCTCGTCTGTATTTTCTTCTTCCCCGTTTCTGCACTTTTTTTGCTAATAGACCTCAATTTACGGTTACGAATTTGGAGTTCCTAATAGAATCTTTGAGTTTTAAAGATAAGGAGAATTTGCTCTGCGTAGTGCTGTACTGCTGCAGCTTAGTTGCTCTTTGGTTAATTTGGAATAATAAAGATATCAACTTTTAGTTTAGCCTTCATTGTAATTGACGTACAGACCTGCGGCCGCGAAACGCAAGTAAAAAATGCTCCAATCTGGCCATGAGTGATGAGTCCATGACTCCTGTCTGAGCTCTTAACTCCGCGGTGGCGCCCACAACTAAAGCATCTGATCGACGCCCAGTGGCACTAGGTCCGTCGACACCTCGATGGCCAATTCCGCATAGTCGTCTAATCGATTTCCAGCATCTTCAATCTCCATTCTTCAGCAACTTTCCAGATTTCCACGTATATAAATTAGAATTGTAAATTCTGGTTTTGTTTGCCGCATTTGCCTCTTTTTCATTTTCTACAGAAACTGCGTTGCTAACTCCGTCTACTTCTCTCCCGCTAGAAGTAAAGCCACTACGCTTTTCCCAATTCATTTTCCATTCTTCAATTTCCCCAACTTCTCACTGCTCATTCTTGCTCGACGTATTCAAGGCTAGGGTTCCAGACGTCCGCCGATTCTCCATGTTATTCTCACTATAGAAATCTCAAGCATCTCAAGCATACAAGCTTTATTCACGTCAGTCGTGGCTAGGAAAACTTTCAGGTAGAGAGGGAGACTCTCGCTGGGTCCATACCAGTTTCAAGCGACATGGGTTCTTCAATCGATTGAGCAGATTTGACTATGGATTTTGTTGGTTTTCTGGTCGATATTCCAATCTACGCCTACTTCCGAGCTTGGATTTGAAGTTGGAAGGTTGATTAGAGGCCAGAGACCCACAGAAGGGAGATGAAAAACCGTGTGGTTAATTTTCACATCGCAGGTGATTTTTGTTTACTGTGTTAATTCCGACAATTGTTTGAGGATTTGGTGTCTGGTTTGGAGTTCGAACACTTGGAGATTCCACATCGACGTTGAATTCCGGCTTCTGAGTTTTTTCTAGGGCGCGCCAGCTTACTGCATGCCTTTCCTGAAAAGGGGGAGTTCAAGATCTGAAAATTGGATTGAACGAGTACTGTTCATTGTCGTTTTTAGCTTCTGTGATTCTTCAGCCGCTGGTACTTGCAATGGCGTCGAAAAACAGGGGTTTGGGGAGTCCTCCACAGTGAGGAATATCAGATCATCATCCAGGTTTACTGTTTTGGCAAGTACGGACGATGAATTCCCTGCCCTCAGTTCTGGGAATAAACCTGCTTCTAAGGATGTTCATGCCCAAGGCGAAGCAGGGCTGGTAACAGCAAATGATGTACGCGCAGGGACTGCTGTGATGGTAGAGAAGCAAACTGCTAAGGCTCTACGTCCTATTAGAGTAAATAAAAGAACAAATCCAAGGAGGCTGTTCAATTACTTCAGTATCAATGCTTATCATGTTCTTTGTAGGTGTAAAAAATCCACTGATTATTTTGCTTCCTGTAACAGGTCGATGGTATGGACGTCCTTGCTGTGAAGCAAGCTTGAAAATTTGCCAAGGAGCATGCTCTGAAGAATGGACCACTTGTGAGTGCATATAATTCTTCTTTAAAGAAGTTAATCACTCCATCTGCCCCTTTCGAAAAGGAGGGTTTTATTTGAGTAAGGTAAAGGCGTACATCGTTTTTTAGTCAACTCGTTCGAGGTACAAGCTGTTACAAATCATTAATGATCACTTAATCACAGATGCCACTTAAACTTGTTTCCAAGGTTGTTTAGAATTTTGAGTTATTGACTAAAACTGCTTGGCACTTGACTTTAAAGGAGTTCTAATTTAAATTGAAAGTTGACTCTTACAAGTTAAACTCTTTTTAGGGACTAAGAAGTCTTGATACAGATTCTTTTCTTTGTACAAAGGGGTTCTTTTATTCTGGTAATAACATCAATTCCTTGTAAGGAAAAAGGTAACAGTCAGGGTCTAAAATGTTGGTTACTTCTATCAGTTTAATGTAGCTTTGTTTGTTGTATGTGCAGCGAGTCAGCGACCTAGCAACTTTAGACATGCCATTGAGTAAACTGTTCCCCATAACAATACACGAATCCTCAACATTGATAAAAGTTCTCGATAAGCATTTGAAAGTACTTTTTTATTTTCTTTACCAATATTGATATCAATTTCGAATTTTGATAATATCCATCAATACGTTAAATTAAAATACTGATAATTTCATGTTTTCTATTAGTTACTGAAACTTCTATTAATTACTGAAAATTTTAAGTTTTCTTCAGATTCTTGAATTGGACAGTGGACACCTATAGGTATCATGGGCACTCCATGTCTGATCCTGGAAGCACATATCGCACACGTGATGAGATCAGTGGAGTGAAACAGGTGAGTAGAAATCTCAAGATCTACCTGAATATTTATTTAGCATGAGAATGACTGGATGTGATTTATCGCATGTGCTGTTTTCGTACATTGCAGGAGCGTGGTCCAATTGAAAGAGTCAGAAAACTTATACTAGCTGAGTAGCTGATGATATTTCCACTGAAAAGGAGCTAAAGGTAGAAGGATATAAATATATAATCATAGATTTAGTAACATGATATCTTTTACAATGGGTTCATTGTTTCTTTTGCCACCAGAATTATGATCCTTGCTGATTTTAGTAACTATTGAAAATGATTGTTTTTCCGGTAGATATATAATGTAGTAATCTCACATCTTTAATTCTATTTTCCCAGGACATTGAGAAGGGAGTCAGGAAAGAAGTAGATGAAGCCATAGCTAAAGCTAAAGTTAGAATCATATGCAATGCACAATGCTCCATCTGTAAAAAAACGTTTGAAGCCATAGCCATTGATCTGTACTGTGTCACGATTTCCACCGGTGAGTAGCTCCACACCTCCGGCCTTGCGAGCTCAGGAAGTCCCTGTCCTATCTCCCTGGTCAGAACTCGAAACCATCTTTGTTTACATTGAAGTTCATGGGTAGTAATTTGGCTTTTCTCGTTTCTTGTGTTACTCTGTTTTAGGTTTCACATCTGATTTCTCAATTGATATGGGAGAGTTTTGTCTGGAGAAACGACCGACCAACAGAGCATATCTTCAAGGATATGATGGAAGACAGTAAATTATTTTGATTTTTCTTTTGACTTCTTTATTCTGGCTTGAAAAATTGTACAAATAGGGAATTGTCAAATTGATCTTAATTGGATATGCTTGAATCGTACAATAAGGCCAGATTCAGTCTCACTACTTCGTCTGTTATTCGATTGAAACTCTTTCAGATGAAATAGAATGCAAATAGCATTGAGGGAGAGGAGGTAACTATTTTGCTTTTATGGTTGTGCTTAAAGTTACCGTTGCATTTTATTTTAATAGTCTGTCTGTTTAATAGGGAATTGGAAAATTTGAAGTCTGGAGCTCTGATCCTCAAGCTGTTAGGAAAGTGTATTTTAGGTCAGTTCAGGTTGTTTTACTCTTTTGGTGTCCAAGTGTTTGTATGATTTTTGGTGAAGTGTGTAGGGTGGTTTTTCTTGGTTGCAGATACATTTGAAGGAGTATCTGTTGTAGTGTTGTCCTAAAGAAATCATGTTAGAGAATGCTTCTATTTTTTTTTTTTTTTTGCTGGAGCAACCCCTCCCTAAAATTAAAAGGGAAATAAACTAACATCATGTCAACTGTTATTTGCAGCATAAGCAAGTCCAACAATCAGAAACGAATGTGATTAAAAACATTGAGAAGAGATCCCTTATCCCACACATGGTTTATCTGTCAATGTGTTGCAATATTAGTGAAGGAAAGTACTGAAAGCAATTGCTCACCCTTTGATCCCAAACCCTCATCAGAATTAAAGCATTAAGCATTCGCTTGATCAGTATGCCAATGCCTTGGGGTTTTCAGTCCTAGATGCTTTGTAGCTGGCATTTGGAGTACTGAGTGGCCGCAAGCAATTAGAGGTATACTTCCCTCTTTTGGCTGCTAACATGCTTGCATATGGCAGTCCTAATTATCTTAGAACATGCTCTCTTTTAACAACTCGGACTCTATAAAATTAAATTAGCCTGCTACGCGCTATGCCGCTATGTGTGATAGGTGCACAATGTATTTTACTTGTATAAACTTATCATTTTAGTACATTATGTCATTTTATTTTGTATTGGTAACTTGGATTATTGACAGTGTGAACAATCTGGTCTTTCTTTGTCGTTAAAACATGGTTGACTTTTCGTGTTTGAAGGATATAAAAATGGCTCTTAGGGACATTTGGGAGTGGCATCATCTTCTCAAATAGTCTCTTAGATCCATGTAGTGGTGGCAGGTAAATTTGAATGCCTTAAATTGTAGTTTAAGGTTTGTGGAGTCTAGCTGCTAAGTTTTAATAGGGAAATGAATCATGTGTTGCAGAGTCCTAGAGAACATATCATAAAGTATTGTTGCTCTTGTTATTGAAAAAGGTAACTCCATTTCATTTCTCTTTGCTGGCTTGATCGCATTAGAGAATTTGGATATGGTATTTGTTTTAGGTTGAAAGTGTTGAACCATTGCTTTTTTTTTTTTCTTTCTGATTTGTTTCATTTCCAGGCGGAGTTCTCATCTGCAGTGAAGTACTCCTCCGTGAATCAATCTGTGAATATCTCTTTCAAAAATAAATAAAACCACTTCTTTGGAATCCTATCTGAAATGCTCCAATAACAAATCTGCCATCACTATAGTCCACTTGGTTCTCTCGCTCCTTGCTCGTGGAGCGGGTCGAATTGGGAGGGCAATCATAATTTTTAAAATTGAGGCTGTGATGAATATTTACAAAAAGAAATGTTTACACATGGTGACCCTATGGCATGTTGACTATTTTTTGCAGCCATTGCGGATTCCCCTATGCTATTATGTTGATGGCAAGAATAGGTGGTTATGCTTCTTTCAATTGGCTGGTATGAAAAAAGTAGTGGTGCTTCACAAAATAATTAGCTATGTTGATCACCTCTGGCATGCAATTTATGGTACCATGCCTTTTTGTATTGAATTGGACCACACATGGTCTTGTGATTGCTCAAAGAGTCATAGTTATGCTCATGATGCTTTGAGTAGAAATACTTCTACATAAATTTCTTACATTCTAATACATGTAAAAAAATGATAGGCTTGTGCTCGCAAAACGGTACGATCTGGTAGATGGAAATCTATGAGCTACCAGATTTAGAAGGAAATCTGTAAGCTTACAGATTGCCTTTGCTCAGCCTATGTTAGGATTTCGTCGTCTCAGAGGCCCATAATGTTATTGCGCATCATAATTATAATTTTTCTAATAGTTATTGTTGTATCTGTGCTTGACAGATCAATAGTCCATATGAACTTCTGTCCTCATCCTCTTATGGTTCAATTCCTCTTTTAGTATACGTGCTTTACTGAAAACTCACATGTCTATTTTTCCCAAAATGTGTTGTGGACGAGTTTATAGTCACTGTGCACTCTGCTGTATCACACCTTCCACATTAAGGAAGTTGTTTTATAGCCATTCTTTTGTAAATGTGCTAGCAAGAACTTCAAAGATTTACTTTCACTCTTTTATTCATTGTTATCTAATTTGATTGTTCATGACAGTTTAACTTTAAACATTCAGAACAGTGAAAGTTGAGGCTTTCTTAATTGGCTCAGCAATTTCAAACACGCAGTGAAAATTCATTACGGGACACAGGAAATTCTTTTAGCTGGTTAAAGATGATTTTGAGATACATCCCCACTACAACTTAGTGTTCCTCAAGAACAATTTTTATGGCTCAACAATTTTTATGAATACTTTCTTAATTGGCTCAGCAGTTTTTATGAATACTTTTTTATGAACACTTAGCGTTGTAATTTTTGTTGTAATATTCTCCCGCTCTAACTTTGTTATGTTCATGTTTCTTGTTATTTTGCCGTTCTTTGCATTGATCTTTTTGCTTCCATTGGGCATTAACCTCGCGCAATGCGTTTCCCGGTGCTAGTATATATATATATATATATATATATATATATATATATATATAGAGAGAGAGAGAGAGAGAGAGAGAGAGTAATGATCCTGTCCAGCCGGAGGGACAAGACCCGCCGTCCGGCCGTCGCTATTTGGGGCCCTTCCCGGTGGAATTTTTTGCTGAAATTTTTTGAGCATGTTCTTCATGAAGTCTAGTTTATCCATACCAAATTTCAGCTAAAAATTCAATCGGGAAGGCAGTCAAATAATTTTTGGAAGTTAACTGCGCACTTGATATACATATAAAACACAGTCATCTTCCAAAAATCATTTAAGTGCCTTCCCGGTTGAATTTTTAGCTGAAATTTGGTATGGATAAACTAAACTTTATGAAGAACATGCTCAAAAAAATTCATCAAAAAATTCCACCGGAAAGGGCCTCTGATGGCCTCGGCCGGACGGAGCTTCCGGTGTGGAATTTGCATCCCACAATTAGGTATTTTTCCATAATTATTGAAAAAGGCAACTCTTTCTTAAATAAGCATCCCTTTGTGTGGTTGATTTTTACAGGTTCATAGTAGCAATGTGAAATGGTGACCTTGATAGCACATGAATTCTGAATTTTTGCTGGCATTGTTAAGGTTGAGGGAACAATGGAATCCTTCAAGGCATGAATTTCTTTTAGAAATACACTCCACTATTAATTAATTTATTTGGTCCAATTGGGTTTTAATGGAGTTTTAGAGTAAAATAGTAGAGAAGTGAATTGCAGGAGTCAAAAGATGAGGAAGTGTAGGTATTTATGCACTTCGATATTATAAAAGTTGCCAAATTAGGGTAGAGCAAATATTAAAATTCCTCTAAGAAGAATATGGAGCAAATAATTAGGAAGGACTTTAAATGCGTAAATATTTATATAATAGGGTGTATAAATGCAGAATTTATATATGTATGCATGCAATACACATTTCCTGGTGTATTTGTACAATTTTGTTATACACATATATATGTATGCATGCGATACACATTTCCTGGTGTTGAGGAATGGCCCAAATTATTCAGGATATTCTAAAGTTTGAATACATTTACGATGTATAAATGCAGAATTTATAGGCTTTGATGATGGGCAGCCATAATTACTTTGGAATTTTATTTTCAATATATATGATGCAGGAGATTTTGTCAAAGGAATCGTCATCTCCAACCGTCTATGAACCTACTCTTGGAGTGCCTATAAATGAACAATCCTCCACAAAAAATCAAAGCCGTGAATGGAAATTTCACGATTGGGAATGAAAAATTATTCTTGAAAATTGAAGAGCTAAACCTTTTCTAAAATCCCCCATAGCTGGCGATTGAACAACTTATTCATAACTGGTGAACGGAAATTTCCAGATCTGGCTTATTATTTTCAGCATGGGAAGGAAAACAGGGAACGACATCAAGAACAACAATACTAGGTAGACAACCCGTAAGAGTTTAGATTCTGCCAACATACTGAGAAAAACTACTACACCAGTACATAAAACAACCTGTAAAACTGTTGATTCTTTTAGTTTCAGGTTGCATAAAGAAAGAGTTTCACCAGGTTGCATAAAGAAAGAGTTTCACCAGGTTGCATAAAGAAAGAGTTTCACCAAACCTAGGCCAGAAGAAAACCTAGGTTTCTAGCCTTTCTCCTTGCCATCTTGCTCTTGGATTTAATTCTTCCACTATAGTTGAATTTTCTCCTCAAACGCTCCACCAGGTCGACCTCTGAGGATGGGGTCATCCTCGACAGTGATGTACCGGAGAGCAACTAGAGCCCTCGCAGAACGTTGAACACTCTCCAGCAACTCCATGTAAGCTTCTTTTGCATAGGTATGACGCCGCTGCTTTTGCTTGCGACTAGGAGGTGCAACCTTCTCCAAAGCAGCTTTTGCGCTATTCCACTCCACCTTAGCAGCCTTTTTTTGGGATATCAGTGCCCCAAACTCTAGCAGAAGCTTATGAGAGGGACAAGCCACACCTGCAGGAAAATCAACACCAGTTGATGAAACTGAGTTCTTATATATACTATTATTCTTAAGATAAAACTAAGCAAAAAAAAGAGGCTTTTAAGATGTTTGTACACACTGCAACACATATTTAAAGAAAATAAACACATTGGAACACAGATTAAGAAACTAAGCCTGAAAAACACTTTTAACAAGTGATGCCCAAATGGGGGATGTGTTTCCCTTTTCTTATTGCAGCTTCATATTGATCACATTGATTTATTATTAAAAAAATAACACGTATTTGGTAAAGCTATCAACAAATTTTAGAAATAACCAGTCAAATGAATTTACTCAAATCCATATGTATGTATATATACATATATACACGAATTTGAGTAAATTCATATGTCTGGTTATTTCTAGAATTTGTTGATAGCTTTAACAAATATGTATTATTTTTTGAAAATTAAATCAATGGGATCAATGAAGCTGCAATAAGAAAAGGGAAACACATCCCCGATTTGGGCATCACTTGTTAAAAGTATTTTTCAGGCTTAGTTTCTTAATCTATGTTCCAATGTGTTCATTTTCTTTAAATATGTGTTGCAGTGTGTACAAACATCTTAAAAGCTTCTTCTTTTTGCTTAGTTTTATCTTAAGAACTCAGTTTCATCAACCGGGCTTGATTTTTCTGCAGGTGTGGCTTGTCCTCATAAGCTTCTGCTAGAGTTTGGAGCGCTGATATCCCAAAAAAAGGCTGCTAAGGTGGAGTGGAATAACGCAAAAGCCGCTTTGGAGAAGGCTGCACCTCCTGGCCGCAAGGAAAAGCAGCGGCGTCATACCTATGCAAAAGAAGCTTACATGGAGTTGCTAGAGAGTGTTCAACGTTCTGCTAGGGCTCTGGTTGCTCTCCGGTACATCACTGTCGAGGATGAACCAGAGGTCGGCCTGGTGGAGCGTTTGGAGACAAAATTCAACTATCGTGGAAGAATTAAATCCAAGAGCCAGAAGGCAAGGAACAAGGCCAAAAGCCTAGGTTTTCTTGTAGTGTAATTGCAACCTGGTGAAACTCTTTCTTTATGCAACGTGGTGAAACTCTTTCTTTATGCAACCTGGTGAAACTCTTTCTTTATGAACGTGGTGAAACTCTTTCTTTATGCAACCTGAAACTAAAAGAATCAACAGTTTTACGGGTTGTTTTATGTACCGGTGTAGTAGTTTTTCTCAATATGTTGTCAGAATCTAAACTCTTACGAGTTGTCTACCTAGTATTGTTGTTCTTGATGCCGTTCCCTTTTTTTTGGGGGGGGGACATTTACCTTTTTTATTAAACCAAAAGTGAATGTTACATCAAACAAAGAGTAAATGGAAATACATTGGAGAAAAAAAGACGGGCAAAGGAGAGAAAGACAACTTAAATCCAACGTGGTGGGCCAAAAACGTTCAAATCCCAGAGAATATCCCTTCGAACATAATACTTCCAAGTGTCATTTATCATTCCAAGCACGTTTAGGGTTCCAGAGAGGTCCAATTTAGAGAGGTAGTCGTCGATTCATTTGAGTCTTCCGAGCTTCCTCTAGCAGAGTAACCAAAATCAACCGGTGTCTCTAAAGAAGGACGCCCCATTTTTATCATCAAAGTACGATTTTCTTGCTCTAGTAGGTAGTTGGTTGATGCTGAAGGATTCCATCGCATTGAGACGAAGGCCGTACAAAGCAAGATGATGGGCACATGTGTTCGTCTCTCTTGGTCTGTAAATGAAAGAAAGCGAGTTTGCCATCTTCAAGTCATGGATTCTCTTCACCATCGAACTGAGAAAACCTGGTATTTTTGCAAACCCTATAATCATTTTAATGCTTGTTTCCGAATCGGACTGAACAATGAAAGATTTGTAACCTCTATTGACCATTTCTTGTGTTGCGGTGAGTGTTGCTTCCATTTCAGCATGCAGTGGGCTTGAAGCAGCAAGAGGGAAAGCAATGGCCTCTTTGAATATCCCATAAGGTTGTCGTAGAATGGCCCCACCTGCACTTTTTTTATGAAGGAAAGATGCGTCTGTGTTGAGGGTAAGTGAATCGTTGTTTGTGGTTTTCCACCTCAAGACAGTTGCTGAATTTTTTTTCTTGATGAAAGGAATTATTAACCCATCTCTGAAGAGGTCATCATCGTACTGAAAACATTTTTTCTTTTGATTGCTGAAAATCCAATTCCTGGTATACTCTTTGATTTCATGAACTGTTTTGGGTCTTGAGAAAGTTATGTCATCCCAGGTACATCTGTTGTATGCTTTCCATATATGCCATACTATTATGCCCGACATACATTGTCTGAGGATGTCTCTAGTGTTACCGCCTTTCCCCCCTAGCCACCACAACATTAGGGTCTGCCTTAGCTCTTGGTGAGTTGTTGTTCTGACCTGCAAAATGTGAGAAAAGTAGACCCAAATAGGTCTAATGTTAGCATAGTTAAATAACACATGGTCTTGGGTTTCACTATGGGAAAGGCAGAAAGGGCACCGGAATACCAATTGGACTCTGAAACGTTTGAGGTTTTCTGGGAAAGGTAGACACTGGTTAAGGATCTTCCATAGGAAAATTTTTATTTTTAATTGGAGAGGGGGTTCCCAGGTGTGGGTGAAGGTGAAGGTTGAAGGCTGGGAATCACGTGCTTGTTGATAAGCACTTGAGAGGGAGAACTGACCATCTGATTCAGGGGTCCAGAGAACAGAATTTCCTGTTCTTTGTATGAGACCAGGATGGTTATGGGCAGTTTTACAGATGATTTTCCAGCACACCGAGTCATTTGCCTTAGGCTGCATATTTCTGTCCCTGTGATACCTTTCACGCATGTAATTTGCCCAAGTAGAGTTATTTTCCATATATGTCCACCACATTTTCATTTGCATTGACCCCAGAATGTAAAAAAGTGACCTAACATTTAAACCCCCCTCTTTTCCTGGCTTGCATATGCTATTCCAGCTTTTCCAGTGATATTTCGGTTTTTTTCCAGAGAATCCCCAAAAGAAATTGGACATTAATCTGTGTAAGATTTGGATAACCCTAACCGGAAATTTACTGATAGCCATGTGATGCAAAGGGATTGAACATAAAACATGCTTTAAGAGGATTAGTCTGCCACTTTGACTTAGCAATTTCTTATTCCAGGATTGAAGTCTTGCCTCAAAAATGCTTATGATTTTCTGACAGTGTATTATCCTTGTGGTGCCACGGTGTATAACTGCCCCGAGGTAGGTGATGGGGAGGTTTGTGACTATCATTCTGGTGTCTTTTCCAAGGCTTATTTTTCTGGCATTGCTCGTTTCCTTGCTAACAATTAATGAACTTTTATGCAGATTGATGACTTGGCCAGTGGCTTGCGAATAGGTGGTCATGAAGTCCTGGAGACGACTCAGAGATTTGGCACTTCCATTCAAGAAAATGACCAAGTCGTCCACATAGCCAAGGCAACAAATCGGGCTCGGTTTACCTGCTATCCGATAGGGTCTGATATAGGAAGTATTGATGAGATAATGTAACCCTCTTGTAAAACTCTCAATAACTAAAAGGAAAAGATAAGGAGATAGGGGATCTCCCTGCTTGACCCCCCTCTGTGGCTGAAAGTAGCCATGGGATTGACCTTGATTTAGGATGGAAATGTGGTTGGAGGTTAAGTTGGATATGATGAGAAGTGTGATTTTCTGGTCAAATCCAAGCTTAATAAGGGTTGCCTCCAAAAATTTCCAGGAGACCCTATCGAAGGCCTGAGCAAGGTCAAGCTTGATTGCCATATTCCCACCTCTGGTCTTTGCATCTAGATGGTGAAGTACCTCTGTAGCCAGTAGGATGTGCCTATGGATATATTCCCCTTCCATGAACCCAATTTGATCCTTGGTGATCATTTTGTGGAGTAGAGGTTTTAATTTTTAACCTCGTGGCTATGATTTTCGTCCAAATTTTGTTCAAAATTTTGTTCACAAAATTTTTCAGACTTATAGGCCTGAATTGGGAAATTTTTTTGGGGTTGGGAACTTTTGGGATTAGAGTAATGAGGGAGGAGGTGAGGGCTTTGGGCATCTTCACTCCTAGGAAAAATTCTTGAACAGCTGAATCAAGTTCTCCTTTTACAATTTCCCAGCAACTCTTGTAAAATGCACCACTGAACCCGTCAGGTCTGGGACAACTGTTTTGGTCCAGTGACCAGACCGTGTCTTTAATCTCCTCGTCAAGTGGTACGGCTTGTAGAAAGGCGTTATCCTCCCGGGTAATAGCCGGGGACAGATAATCCAGCATGTAGTTCATTTCCTAGCTTTGGATAGGAGTGGAAGTGTATAGATTCTGAAACTGATTAACAGCTGCCCCGGCTATTAAGTCCATACCTTCAATTAGGTTATCTTCATCGTCCTCTATAGATAGGAAGGTAGAAATCCTCCTTTTTTGCTTAACATAATTGTGGTAGAATTGTGTATTTGCGTCCCCCTCTGCCAGCCATTTTATGTTTGCCTTTTGTTTCCAGAACAATTTTTCTTGTTTAAGCGTCTGAAGGAGTTGGGCCTGAGTTTTGGATCAAAGGCTTCTTGTTTCAGGGCGTGGGTTAGAAATATAAGAGTCCTCCACCAATTGGGCCTCCTGTTCGGCCTTTTTTATATTTTCAAAGATGTCACCAAATGTGTTGGTGTTCCATTCCCTCAAGGCCTTTTTGGTAACCTGGAGTTTGTCATATAGGCCCTGCATACCCCTCCCTGTCGGTACTTAGCTCCAAGATTTAGAGACCACGTCTAAGGATTAGAGGGGAGTGGTCACAGGGTGTTCTCGGCAGATGTCTTTCAATAATCAGTCGAAGAGGTTAAAAAACTGAGGATTAGCTAAAAATTTGTCCAATCTCCTCCAGAGGCGTCCCCTAGATCTAACACCAGTCCATATTTCGACCCAGATAAATCAATTTGCAATAGTTCTCAATAATCATTGCATTCTGTAAAATCTGAAATTTTAGATAGTTTAGGTAAGGATTTACCTATATGCTCATTGATTGATGCCATCACGTTAAAATCACCTCCAATTAACCATGGTTCGTCATTAGAGTCCTTCCAGTTCCGTAGTTCTGTCCACAGGAGTTGTCTTTCGATTTTGGAGTGTTTACCATAGACCGAAGATAACCACAAAGCCTTGCCATTAGACCGATCCAAAATCTCCGAATGGATAAACTGATCATACTCAGTGATATTGTTGACCGAAAAATAATTGTCATTCCAAAGTAACCAAATTTTATTGTCTCCTTTGGTAAAAACATGAGTAGAACCTAGAAGATTCTTGTAATATTCAGCTTTTTCAAAAGACACTAGAGGTTCATTAATTGAGAAAAAATTAATCTTCCATTGGAGTAGGATTTTGCGTAATCTTTCACAAGAGGATGAAAGACCACATAAATTCCAATTCAACAGAATCATTAAAAGGTTGGATGAAGCCCCTTGGCTTCTTTGAATTTTTGGGATCTAGTAGAGATAGAGGGGGGTTTAGGATCATATACTTTCTTTGAAATGCGTCTGGATGATGTGTGCATTAGGCCTGAGGACCCGGATGAGCATTTGGCCGCCTTAGCCAGTTTTTAGGAGATGGATTTAGAGGATGCAATTAAATTCTTACCTGGTGATAGGGGAGATTCATGGTCAGAGTAGTGTCCTTCCTCCATGATAAGCAGGGCCGTTTTTTAGGGGGTTCAATAGGTTATCCAGAACAGGGCTCCCAAATGTATGGGGCCCCAATATTTTAAAAATTTATTAATATTATACTTCCTCCGTTCTTAAATAAATGTAACACTTTCCATTCTAGGCAGTTCCATTATAAATGCAACACTTCTATATTTGGTAAGAAAAAATAATCACAATGACTATACTACCCCAACACTTCTTTTGTACGCTTAATGAGTCAACCCATCACCTCAAATTAAATCTCCACCCACCCACGATATATCCACCATCCATTTTTCCACTGCGCCTAAGCCTTTAAATCTATGAACTAAACCAGATGCTCTGTTAGATAGAGATGGGCGAACAAGAAGCCATGAGGAAGAGAAGCCATGTATGAAAGAGAGCTAAATAGGAAATGGAGCACTGCTGGTTTTATTTATTCTCTTTGAAAACTCTCCAACTCTCGTTTCTTGTCCACATATGGACCCCTTTTTCTTCTTCCATGCATCTGGGCATTCATCTTCTTTTACATCTCTGTTATTTTTTTCTCACGATTTTATAAGTCAATTCAAGAATTTGGATGTTGATGAGCTAAATCGGCACACAAATTAAGAATCTCTAGCTTCGAAGGAGTTTTAACATTTGTTGAACCAATATAGTGGCCAATAATACGATTCAGGATATTAAAACTAAACATCTGTAGTTCAAATGATGTTAAACAAATTCAGGAGGAGCTGAATCGAAACTAAAATATTGAAAGCAACGATTATTTGGTCTTTCCGGAGTAGAAGGTAAACGAGCAAAGAGAAGAAAAGTTGGGAAGTGAAAGAGATAATAACTATGTCAGACATGCCTGCTAAAAAGCAAGGGCGAATTCGGAAAAAAAGATGTCCGTATAGGTTTCTTAAATCCTGTGCCAACATGCTAGGTTGCATTTAAAACCGAACGGAGGATAGTATAATAATATTATATTATTATAGTTACCAAGTAAGAAAAAATATAGATCCATCATTTTTTCGTTGGTCCTTTTACTCTTTTAGTTCTTTTTTAATAAATATTCAATTAATTTGAGTACAAGTATTTAGATTTAGATTTTTAAAAAATATGTTATATTAATGTGGGGCCCCATTTTTACATTTTGAACCGGGGCCTCCAAAATCATTAGTCGGCCCTGATGATGAGTAGAGTAGGCCAGTAGGGGTTCCTTCTTTGCCAGGAATGTCATCTCTAGAGAACAATTTAGAGGGTGGGAAATAGGGAACAATTTGAAGGTTGTTATGTGTTGGATTTGAATCCAGGGGAAATTTCTGGGGTAGTTATGGGTTCTTCAACACAGATTTCGGTTGGATTAGTAACTATGTTGGGAGGATTGTTTGTTTGGGTGATATGTTGGGTGTGTGTAGTGGCAGTGAAGTTTTCTGGGGGTTGGATAATAGGTTGGGTGTGGGTAGGGGCACAAAGGCTTTCTGGGGGTAGATTTCCGGGTAGAAGGGGAGATGGGGACGAGGAAGATTGAGGATCGGAAGGTATGGATACTAGTGGTGGACCCGGTTCGGGCCGCCCGGCCCAAGACCGGCCCGGCCCGTTACTGTGCGGACCCGGAACCGGCCCGGTTCTCGGGTCCGGGTCCGGTTCGGGCACCGAACCGGTGGGGGGTGGCGGGTCCGGGCTCGGGTGTTGTTTTTGGCGGCCCGGCCCGGCCGGGTCGGGCCTAACGGTCTATTTTTTTTTTTTAAGAAAATTCCTTTTAAATTAAAAAAGCTTTTTGACCACTTGACCCACTTCCCAAATGGCTATATAGCCGTTGGGTGGGTACCGGGGGCCGGGGGGGTCCGGGGTCTTTGGGGGGGTGGGGGGGTGGGGGTTAAAAAAAACTATAATACTCCTAATTTTAAACATTTTTTCACACATCTTCTCCAACTCTTCCTAAATCCTACTCTCTATTCTCTACTCATCTCCATATTCATCTTCTCAAATTCTCTTATTCTCCATTATATTTTATTTTACTATTTAATACTTATACAATTATAAGGGTTTTTTACGAGAATATTACTAAATATGACTATTCATTACTACAACGTAGTGCTGTGGTAACTAAAGTTCAAAACTTGAACATGAATTACTATGATTTCATTACTACTCTAGTAATGAATCATATTTTTGTAAACCATCTTTATTTTGGTCATATTTATGTAATTATTTCTTATTATTATATCTACTTATATATTAATTATCTACTTATAAATACATATACTATATTACTTATATTTCTTATCTACTTAATCTCTACTTATATCTCTTAATACATACATATATACTACATCTACTTAATATATACTTTATATATTAAAGTATTAAATATACTTTATAAACTATTACTATATACTTAATACATAATAATATCTACTTCTCTACTTATATTTCATATATACTTATTTTCTTATTCTCCAATCTCCAATCTCCAATGCTCCATTATACTCTAATATTTAATTCTTATACAATTATTATATCCACTTAATAGTTAATACATACATTCTACATCTACTTAATATATAGTTTATATATTAAAGTATAAAATATAAGTGTATTACTCATCTTATACTAGTATACTTATATATTATATACTATAGACATTATATTATATATTAGTTACTATAATTAGTATTATACTAGTTAATTAGTTAATTAGTATTCTTGTTACATTTTTCATTATACTAGTTAATTAGTTCATTAGCATTCTTGTTACATTTTTCATTATACTAGTTAATTAGTTCATTAGCATTCTTGTTGCATTTTTCATTATACTAGTTAATTAGTTCATTAGCATTCTTGTTACATTTTTCATTATACTAGTTAATTAGTTCATTAGCATTCTTGTTACATTTTTCATTATACTAGTTAATTAGTTCATTAGTATTCCTTTTACATTTTTCATTAAACTAGTTAATTAGTTCATTAGCATTTTTGTTACATTTTTCATTATACTAGTTAATGAGTTCATTAGTATTCTTTTTACATTTTTCATTAAACTAGTTAATTAGTTCATTAACATTTTTGTTACATTTTTCATTATACTAGTTCATTAGTTAATTGAAGTATTAATTAAAATAATTTTAATTAGTTGCATTAGTTTGTATTCATTATTATATTTGTTGCGAATTAATATTTGTTACATTTTTAAGATGGAAGGTGGTAGATATTCGGTTGATTTGGGTAACCTTCAACGCAATCGAAGGAATGAGATTGATAGGAAGAAATCCCGCAAAGGTAAAGAACTTGCTGACTCTTCATCTCAAAGCCGAGATGATTTTGAAACGGGTTACCAAAGGCGAGATGGAGATGCGATGTCCGAAGAACAACTACAACAAGAATTGACCCGACATAATAACCGCTTTCTACAATAACAAATCCCGACGACCATTGACGAAGAGGAGCTTGAGGATGAAGATGCGGAGGAAATGGAACCGGAGACGGCCGAGGAGGAGGGTGCCGGCAGCCACGACACCGACCAGCCTGCCTCATCTCAAACCGCCACCGGTAATAAAAAAAAGTAAATTTGAACTAATGCAAAATAATTTTGATAAATGGAAGGACCCACAAACCGGCTATTGGCACGCAACTTGCAAGTGGTGCAACAACAATTATAATTTGGGGACCTCCGGCGGATACGGATCCGCCGCAAGGCATCTTAAGGCAAAGCACCCCGTGGAGTATGCAAACTTAGGCTGCGGAACGGGGATGCAAACTCAAATATCGAGGTTTGTGAATTTTCATCCTTTTGTTAATTTCTCCTACAATGATGCACAAAATTTGACTGGTATGGCTAACTTAATTTGTGAAGAAAATTTGCCTTATCTGTTTTCTGAAAGTCTTGCTTTAAGAGATTATGCACAAGGTAGTTTAAATCCTCAATTTAGAAATTATGTCGCAAAACTATTAAGAAAGAAATTATAATGCGGAAAAGGCAAGGTTACAAAATTGTTTTGCAAACTTTGATGGGCGTGTTACTATTTGTTCTGACATATGGGAGGATGATTTTCATCATTTATATTATTTGGGTCTGACTGCACATTATATTGATGAGGATTGGAATATGCATAAATGTGTTCTTGCTTTTCGTGAATTTAATGATCGTCACACCGCTGAACATATTTATATTTTGATTGAGCGTATTTTAATTGAGTATAATTTGATTGATAAGGTGTTTGCTATTGGTTTCGACAATGCTACTAATAATACTGCTGCTATACCTAGATTGCGTGAATTGTGTGGTGTCAATACTTTGATGGATAGATTTTTTTCATCAACGTTGTGCATGCCATGTTATAAATTTATGTGTGCAAGACGGTCTAAAAGCGTTAGGAGATGCTATGGAGGTAGTGAAGGGGGGGATTAGAAGTATTTGGGGTAATGGTCAACTTAGATTAAAATGGCAAACTTATTTGACCGAAAGAGGTGTGAGATATGTTGCTTTTCCTAAAGATTTGAGTATTCGTTAGAATAGTACTTATAAATTACTTAGAGTTGTTCTTAGATATAAAGAACATTTTCCTGCTTTTTTAAAACAACATGATAACTACATTATAAACTCGGCTGAGATCGACACTTGCGAAAAAATTTGTAATGTTTTGATATTTTTTTTAATTCAATTGAAACTTTTAGTCATGTTTATAAACCTACCGCGCAAACCAATTTATTCGTGAAGCTGTTAATCTCGCCGGTGCTTTTAAAGAATTTGAGAATGCCGTTTTCGTGAGTTATTTTTGTGATTATATGAAGGAAAAGTTTTTAAAATATTATGCGCATATTCCCCATATTTATGGTATTGCATTTATTCTCGATCCTCGTTATAGACTTGCTAATTTGGAAGATTGTTTCAACTTCTATTATCTTGCGTTTTTTGGTGAATTTTCAATGTATGACGATAACCCCATAGATCCGAAAACGGAATACAACGAGGTTAGTACTTTATTTTATGCCTTATTTAATGAGTTTCGTGCACAATATAGCAACGCTCCCCCTCCCCCGTCACGAACATCTTCATCTAAAGGAAAATCGATTTTTAAATCTGCATTTGGCAATCTTATGAAAAAAACAAAAACAACTCACGTCACTGAACAAAGTGCATTGAATGAGATTACTTTGTATTTAACATATGAAGTTGATTTTGAAGAAAATGATGACTTTGACGTTCTAGACTGGTGGAAGTCAAAAGAAAGAACGTTCCCGATTTTAGCACGGATGGCTAAGCAAGTACTATCAATGCCGATTTCAACAGTTGCTGTGGAACAAGAATTTAGTTCGGCCGGCAACGTCCTACCGGCATCTAGATCGAAATTGAGCGCGGAGTCTCTTGAGACGCTTATATGTTACCACGATTGGTTGAAGGCCGCACGTAGAACTCAAGAAATGAGCATCACCCCCTCCCAAGATTTTATGGATGACTCAACAACCGATGGTGGCTCTACCTATGCCGGAGATTCCGATTGATTAGTATTTTAGAATTTATTATAAAATGTATTTTATAGCACTTGTCAAATTTATTTATACTGTTACTTCATATTTCAAAATTGTAAACTTGTACTTCATATTTCAAAATTGTAAATTTGTAGTTGTACTTCAAATTAATTTGTAAACTTGTACTTCATATTTCAAATAAATATGTGTTCACTTTTTCATATGTAGCACTTCTCAAATTAATTAATTGGTTACAAACTAACGACTTAAAATTATTTTTCTAAAATATAAAGCCGATTTTTAAATTAAAAATACATTTACAATATGTAATTTGTTTAAATACTTATACACCTATTTTGTAACATTTGTGAATTATAAATCAAACCATTTTTCTAAGTACAAATAGCTTTACTTAATTCATTAAATTAATTAACTTAGTTTACAATATGTATAACTTTTAAAAAAAATTGATTTTTTTTTCAAACAAAATCTTCCAAATGGCTATATAGCCGTTGGGGCTTTGGGTGGGGGCAGGGGGTCTCGGGGGTGGTGCTGTGGGGAGTGAGGTTAAAAAACATCTATAAATACATCAATTTTCTAACATTTTTCTACACCTCTTCTCCAACTCTTCTCCAACTCTTCTCCATCTTCATCTTCTTTTATTATCCTACATTCTTACTTATACATATACCATTTTAAAGATGGAAAGTACATCTTCCCTTATGCAAAACAATTTTGATAAGTGGAAGGACCCGAAGACCGGACTGTGGTGGGCAACTTGCAAGTGGTGCAAGAAAGAGTGTTGCTTGGGCCGTTCACACGGATACGGGATGCCAATAAAACATATGAAGTCATGTGACAAAGGAAAAACGACAACCGACGGAAATCCCAATTGATATTTATTAGAAAATGTATTTTGTATTGTTAATTTTTTCTCAATTCTCAAATGTAGTTCCTATTTCAAATAAATGCACTTGAACTTTGTTTTTAATAGGAATTTGTATAATATATAATTATTTAAAAAAAATATATATACTGAACCGGCCCGGCCCGGCGGGTGGCCCGACCCGTGACCCGGCCGGGTGGCCCGGCCCGAACCGGAACTGACCATAGCCCGGGCCGGTCCCGGGCCAACCTATACCAGACCCGAGGCCCGACCGGGCCTTGGCCCGGCCCGGGTTCATCACTAATGGATACAAGGTTGGGATGACAAGATTAGAATTAGGGGGTTCCGAGGAGACAGGTTCTTTACCCTTCTTGCATGTAAGATGACCCAAAAGACAACAAGTAGAATAGTAGGGGGGTAGTTCTTCACAAGTCACTGCTTGAAAAAAGCCTGAATTACCAGATTGGATCCAGATTTT